TCATCATTCCTTTGGTTAGCTCCGAGGAATGAATCTCTGTTCCAGCACAGTGCAGGACAGAGAAGGGCCGCAGACAGCATTCCTTCCTCCCCTACCCCCAACTGCAACGCATCGACGTACCTGCACATCGTAAGGGGGAACGGCTTTTCCCAAAGAGCCAGGTTTGATTTTCATTCCTTTCATGTTGGCGCAGATCGTCACCTGCATAATAGACTTCTATTATTTTTTTAATTTTTTGCATCATCTTGTACATTTTATTATTGTTTGCATTAAACAGAACAGGACTTTGTTGTGACCAGGGCTGAATCAGGACCAAAGTACTGTGGTCCTTAAGAACATCAGTGAGGGGTTGAGAAGCATTTCAGGCCAGACCTGTGGAATGAGGTTGATTTTGCTCAGTCTGAGTGAGTGGGTTCTTCTGAAAACACTTGACTTTGCAAGACAGCAGATGTGGAATTATTACAGATCTTATTTCAATAATTTAGGACCATTTCAAGGGTAGGATGAGAGAATGCCTGACATCTGACTCTTAATAGCTTTGTTAGTGTTCGCTTCCAGAGAAGTCTGGGATGTGAGCTGGTTTAATATTTTTCATTAAAACCTGGGACAGGCCAAATTGATAGCCAGAACAAATTAATTTTTTTTAGTTTTGCCTTTGATGTAAAGATGATGATGGGATCTCCTACAACTTATTTGATCTGAGGTGTCTCTGGCATGGTGTTTGCAGGGGTCTGAACCATTGAAATAGGCAGTTAGCTGATTCTGAAAACATAGAATCAAAATTATGCAAAGCCTTTTTAAAAAAAGTAATATGAAGGATTCTCACCTTTTCCATTGATTTATCAAGGACATTGTGACTTTGGTGTAGTTACTTTTGAAAGGGCATACTGCAAGAATTAAGGGAAACGTACTGATTCAGTCTGGCCATAGCCTTCATGGATGTCCACCCCTGTCTGGGTTTTCCACTTCGCCATCATTTCAGGATTGAGTGGTTCCCCTGCAGATATGCAGTGTTTCAGACTCATCATCTTGTACCTTCAGAGGAATAGCAAATGAAATAGTTTTTTAACTCTAGAAGAGAGCAGTGTGTGGCCTTACCTGAACAGCCTCCCTTGGCTTTCCAAGCACACCTAAAACTGAGGGTAAGGCTGAACAGGAACACAGATCCTGAGCTTTCTGTTTAACCTGTGTTGGCTTCTGTGAGGATGAAAGATCCATGTGAGAAGAGTAAGTACCTTACTGAAGATGGGAAAACTCCTTACAAACCACTTCTCACAAGCTGAGTATTTTACACAGTAACAAACTGGTGGGAACAGCATGTGAAACTCCTCTTACTGCTCATTTCATTCTCAAGCATATGAGAATAACTCCACTCCACTCCAGTAATTCCCTCATCCAATGTTACCTGAAACTTGACTTAAATTTAAATTACAAATTGTAAGTTCAGAGGAAGGCGCAACTTAAAAAGATTTCACTTGTTCTCTTTGTGCTGTCTTTCCAAAGACCCAGCCCTGAAGCCTGAGTGGCCTATGGTGTGACTAGTTACTCTCATATTTCAGAACATAGCTCTGTTTCCTTAAAGCATGTTTTGCTAATTAGATTTCCATTAACCGAGAAAAAAAATTAAGGAATGTGAGGAACTAAACAGCCAGAGCTGTCACAGCATTATATCCCAACCTCCCTCCTAGCCCTGCAGTACCTGCTCAGATCGTGTTGGACCAGCATGCGGTAGGCAGTGGGAGCAGTGCAGAAGGTAGTGATGGGGTATCTTGAGAGAGTCTAGAAAAAGAGAAAGTTATTTTGTAGAAAGATAATGTAACAGTGTGTCCCACTGCTTAGAACACGCAGAACTTTGTCCAACAGAAGTCACATCTGTAAATGAAAGACCACTGAGAGTAGTAGTTCCAATTAAGATTGTTTTGTGCTTTCCAAGGCGTCCACATCCCAGGCTCAAGCCTAAGTGGTGAGAGGAAGGGAACTACACCAAAGCTTTTCCAGTATTATTCTTGGGAAAGTCAGAGTCCCCTCCCAACACAAGAGGCCAGTGTCGAGGAGAGTTGGCCAGCTTACTGATTTTGAGAAATGGCTGAGAGAACAAACAGGCATTTTGGCAACTTTGGATTGCCTGGGAAATGGATTACTTACCTCTGCAATAATTGCTGGCTTAAACTGTGGCATGTGGTGTACAAAGACACAAGATCCACAGATCCATGGTGCAAAAACACTGCCCCAAGCTGCTTTTGCCCACCCAGTATCAGAGGTATTCCACATTATATCTGAAGGAGTCAAGTTCATCCAATGCCTGGTGATAAAGCAGAGGTGAAAAAAATGCTACACAGAGTGTGAGAGACTTGGGCACAGGACACTCTAGAATTCAAGGACAGAGCAGGAGGCTTCCACTGGAAGATGTGACATCAGGAGGCAGGGCTCTGCAGAAAGTTTGTAGGGGTCAAAGAGGGACACTCCTTATTTCTCCTCTGCAGTCTGGGAGACAGAACACTGCACATCATGATCTCAACTGAGTTTTCAAGAGGGTTTTAATATGGAAGGTTTCACTGTGAAAGGGAAAAGATGAGGAAGGGGCAAGATCCCACAGTCACTGACTGCCTACATTCACTGGAGTTTTACAGTCACATTTTCAATGTAATGGGGATCATGTCACTTAATGAGGACACTGGGAGCAACTCCAAGGTAATACCTGCCACCAGTTACAAGTCCGATGCCATAACTGCTGTGGGACTGCACCACCATTTTTGGAAAGCCTGTAGTTCCACTGGTAAAATAGATCAGCATTGGGTCTTGACTTCTTGTCTTGACACATTTATGGTCAGCAGATGCCACCCTTCAGAAGAAATAGTGTATTATAGTCACTAAATGCATTTTTCCGCCAAGAAATCTGCATTTCTAAGGTTTAGGAGTTAAAACAGGAAAACAGCCCCAAACTGTAGGATCTCACTAAATAAACAGACACGTCAGATACCACAGGCAAGCATCAGAGAATACATTTTGCCTGTCACAAGTGCATTCTGAATCAGAAGGTTCCTGAGTGAGAGAGGAGACGCTGAAGGACCTAATTTAGCTCCCCAAACCTTTTTCGGACAAATCTGTACTTAATACAGTGCAATAACAATGCAGTGCATTGACAGAAGGATGCAAAAATGTAACTAATTTTTATTTTGGAAGTGAACCCCAAATCTCAGCAACGTCACCTGACTGGTACAGCCTCCTTCCCCCCACTGGGATGAAGGTCAAACAACTGGATACTCACGCAAGGAGCTCTTTGAGGTTCAGCCACCCAGCCCTGCTCCCTTTGCCTACAATTAGTTTACTTTTCAGAAACTGGCTGTCAGACACAACAGATTCCACTGCAGGTGCCAGTGTGTCACTGGTAATGATGCACTTGGCCTTTGAAGCTTGGAGTCGGTATAAGATGTCTTTGGCTGTTAGTTGGGATGTT